AACCACCTTTGGCAAATCCAGTAACAGTTCCAGCCCTCTCTTTCCTACCCTCGCTCTTGGTTCCAGACACATGTGATTGCCATACAAGTCTGGAATTGCCACGTCTTTTGGTATTTCAGGATAACTAAGTACAGAATTTTAAAAATGGTATTTGTTGTTGTTGTTGTGCTGTTGCTTTACTAAACAGCATAAATTATTTAGAGGTACTGATTCATACTAATTCATGCAAACTACCAAAGTCCCCGTAACCCCCCACCATAGTTCATGGCTCCTCCCTTTGATCCCCACCCCTACTCTACCTCTCTGAGAGCCTCAGTTCTAAAGTCAGTTTTCTAGGTTATGTATTGTTCTTTGTTTTTGTTTCTCTTTATTCTACATATGAATGACATCATCTAGTATCTTCTTTACTTCTGGTTTATTTCACTGGTATAATCTCCAGTGTCACCCATGTGGTCGCATGTCAAGAGAAGAAATGCCGATTTTTATGTGGGTTTTACATTAAAAAAAAGTTTTTACATTAAAAAAGAGTTTTTGCTGGGCAAAAACTCTTTGAGTTGTCAAAGCCACTACAATGCGGTAACAATCTCTGTTTTCATTATTGTCTCTGAGTTCCTTGGATTGGCTAATCTGTTTGGCTTGGCCCCACTTTTTCACATGGGAGTCTTTCCTCAAATGTCTGGTGGTCCCTGGCTGTAAAGTCAATGAAAAATGCAGGGGCTTTCCTGTAGAGAGTGGATGGTGAGTGTATGGGGGTGTTTCTCTGGGCACTGATTTTTTTCTAGAGAATTGTCCTGTTTCCTGGGGAAGTGAGAGAAAACTGGCTTTATGGGTTCAGAAGCTGTTTGGTTTCATAGCTGGATGCTACCTTATCTAAGATTGTTTTAAGAATGTTGCCGACCTCTCAGTTCTGGATGTTCACTTTGCCTGATGCCATTGAATTCAGAGTCTTGTCAATTTCTTCCAAAGGATGAAGACCTTGTCTTCTATGGGGTTAATGCCTTGGACAGCAGGACTGGCCAGAGGCACTGAGACTAAATTGGTATCTGCTTTTAAATAACCTCTCTGTTTACACCTAAGATGCAGCCATCCTTCTTGCTGTCTGTTCTCTAAGGGCTATCTAGTATCTAAGGTCTGGATGCCCTGAGGGCTTCTGTAGGATGGTTCTTTTGCTTTTGTGGGTCAGAACCACTCTTCAAGCTGTTGACAAAGGCAAAAGGCTGCCATAAGCTACAGCAGTCACCATGGGCCATGGTTTTCATCTTCCCACACATTCCTCTTCAGTTACCACCTTTAGTTTGAGCAGTCTTGAGTAGGGATCTGTGAAGGGAGGGATGGATGTGTGTGTGTGTGTGTGTGTGTGTGATCTACCACTTTGGAAAGAATGCTTCTTGATTCATGATCCAATTCTCTTTTCAAAACCTAGTTTCTTCTTTATTTTCTGATCTTTTCGGTTTCTCTCCTGCTGGTTCTTTTTTCACATTTTACATACTCGGATCTCCTATTCTAAACTCTAAAGAAATTATCCCTCAATCATTCTTTTGGACCTCAAGCTTCAACACTTTAGAGTAAGTTGTGGGCCCTCCCTGGTGCAGCCAGTTAAAGCACAGCACTAAGAAGCTAAAGCCACTTCAGCATGAGTCCCATCCCTGCCCTCCCTGGAGGTGATCCACATGGCGTGGTGGACCTCTCCTGATCCATCCGCTGCTCCCCTCAGCAATGTATTTCTTCAGTCGGCTTGTTGTGCTCCCAACTCTGTCTCTGGTGAGCCCTCTCACTGCCCCCTGTACCTCTGGCCTGTACCCCAGTTCTGTATGAATAAATAAATCTAAAAAAAAAAAAAGTAATTTGTTGCTCTTTCCAGTATTTTTAGCTTATGTCTCACTCTGACTTCTTACCTCATGAATGCTGTTAGTCTTTGAAGGTCATTTATCTGGTATAATCACCTCTCTCAGTCCTCATCTATAGTCTCACAGTTTGATCACTGTGGTTTATTGACCTTTGACCCTTCTGATGACTTCCTTCCTGATTCCAGCTGCTCTTATCCTACTTCTGGCCACCTCCTTCAGTTTGTTGAGCTTGTTGGTCTTCATCTAATTCCCCTGAAATACCATTCCCCCTCAACCCAGCACCTAGTCAAGGCTTCTTCTCTTCTAAAACACCTATTCCTTGTGTATATCTGTATATCTGTGTGTTACCTTTAAGTAGACCTTCTGCCTTGATCTATAAATTCCTGGTGGAGATACTTAGGCAAAGGAGATACTTACACTTGTTGAAACCTCAGGTGTACACTACTAAGACCAAATTGCCTTACCTCCCTCAGCCCGTTCTTCCTCCCATGTTGGACATTTTTGTTAATGGTGCCACTGTCTTCCAGCTCCTTCAACTCACAGCATGGGGGCATTTCTTGGCTACTGCCTTATCTCAGTACAGAATCAAATTAGTTAAAAAGTTCTATTGCTTATACTATCACTGTACCCCAGTATCTGTTCCCTGCCTCTTCATTTCCACCACCTTTGTGTAGCACCCATGACCTCCTGCAAGTTATTGCAAAATGTTCTTAATTCTTCCCGACTCTGCTTCACCTCCTATACCAGTGACTTTCCAAATGCTGACCGAATGAACACAAGATGATCTGGAATTGTGATTGGTTTGATGTGGATAGGAGGCAGGAATAGACTTTAAAAAATGATTTGCCGTGAATAAAAGAAATATTGAACACTATTTAAGAAGTGTATCAATATATATAATCTTAACACAAGGAAGCAATGCTATACAGTTTGTATGAATAGTGCATATATCTCTCTTTCTTTACATAACATGGACTAGGTGGATACTCACAGAAGGGGGAAGTGTTTACTTCTCTGCAAGGGTATAAAGGGAGCTCAAGGAGGGGTATGTTTGGGCCCCCTTAAAGATCCTAATGCCAAAATACCCAAATGTCTGAATGATGTCATTGTCAAAGGGGCATTGTTTCACTATTGCTTGACCTTTTCTGTCTATATTAAGCAAGTTTGAGACTCTCCAGATGATAGTGAAGCGTACTTCAGGGCTAGTTCTCATAGACCTGTAAGCGACCAGCTGGAAGTGCAGAAGCAGCTTCGCACACCTGCTTGCGAGCGTTCCATGCCCATCTCCATCAGAGCCAATTTCAAGTTCCCTGGCACGGTGTTCTCCATGATGCTGACCTGACCTTTTTGCTCTTGCCTTTGATACTCACCATTCACGCAGTCAGTGCTGGAACAATCTGCTCTTCATGGGAGCTGGAAAAGGCCACTTGCTTTCCTTGGCTCTGTGTCTCTTGCAAATTGCTGGGGTTTTTTTTGGTTTTGTTTTTTTTTACTTTTTCTCTTCCCTGACTCCCCACCTTTTGTTCACTAAAATATTTTTTATTCTTTATGCTATCTTTCATTCTGCCTCCTCTGGGAAATTTTCCTCTTTTCAAAGGCTTCCTTTTCTGTACTTCCTAAAGAATTCAACTGATACTTCTTTTATGATACTTACACAGCGTGATATGTGCTTATCCTGTTCTACCCGTGGCACACTGGCTTTGGACTTCAGAACTGTGAGAGAATGTCGTTTTGAGCCATAATAATAATAATAATAATAAAAGTAGTTGTTTCTGTATCTTCTTTGGTAGTATGTTTTCACACCTCCATACATGCACAAGTTTCACTCAGCCTCCACCAAAACTCCTACAAACCTCAAAATTGGTGGCAATTTGTTATTATGTAACAGGGTGGTCCCTAGGGGAAAGGTAACTCCCAGAAGGAGGGTGGAGCTGAGCAGAGAAAAAGGAGAGAAGAGAAGGGAGAAATGAGAGAATGGAGCTGGATGGAGAAGGAGGAGACCTAAGGAAGCCACATGGAGCAGCAAGCATGTGATGAAGAAACCGGGCTTGTTTCCTGACCCTGGACTGGTTAAGGCAGATGTGGGTGAGATACCTGTGGGGAGGTGACTATGGCAGTGTTTATATTGATTTTGTTCTTTTGCTCTCAGGTTTGTCTGGCCATTTTTGACCCTTTTCCATGGGTCCCGGCCAGAAGGTGCTTTAGTCTTGTGGCAGGCTTTCAGGCCTTGCTTTGGGCCAGTCCCTTTTGGGTGACTTTTGTCCACGAGGGGATGGGTAACTTCAGGTGTTTGATTTAGAAGTTATACTCTTTGCGTTCCATATTGTATATTTACTGTATTAAAGTTCCTTTTTATTAAAGTTTTATGTCTGTCTTGTTGCGGTGGATGGCAGAACCCACTTAGAGCAGGCAGGTTTTGGGGCTTCAGGGGTGTCCTGGAACAGATTTGGTGTCCTAGAACAGATTCTGTCCTCTTAACAGATTTGGGGTGCCCTATAACAATTACAGTTTTTGAAAGCATATAGATATGCTCAGATTTTAAAAAGGGGCAAGAACCTACCAACTGAAGCTCCATCTGTGGCTTTGCTAATGTTTTTGACCCACAGACAAGATGGACATTCATCATGGAGATGCTGACGCTCATTTTTCGCTGGAACGTGGGTGGTGAAGAGAAGGGGAGTTGTGTTGTTGATACGGTGAGGCAGATATAGTGGATTTGCTTCCCTACAGGAAAGAATATTTGAAAAGCAAAAAGCAATCAGTAATTGAGCCTTACTGAGTTTCTGTTTTGTGTCCAACACAGTGCTAGGCACTAAACAGGTATAAGAACAGGATTCTATCTGGACCGTTGAGATGCTCACAGCTTGATTAATTAATATAAAGCCATAAGCAAAGTTAATATGTAATCCATTGGCAATAGATGTAAGATTGAACTAGAAAAGGGACCATCTTTGATTTTACAAATTAAGTACTTGTATTTTCTCAGAATTTATCACTGAATTTCAGATTCTGTGACAAAGTCTCTCAACAGGGTGTGTCCTTAGATTCCATTAAGTTCAAATTACCCCTTGGCTTGAGGCATGATTCCTGCTGGTTTAAGGCAGAGCCCTGGAATGTAGACTGAGAAGTCATCCTTTCTTTTCTTCCTTGCTAGGAAAATACTGTGCAGCCTGCAGACTCTGCAGGCAGGTGGAAGCACAATCACCCTCAGGTAATGGGAACTGAATACATTCAAGTACTGTCTTATCTAAATGGCTTGACAAGTTTCCTTTTGCCTGGCTAATTGCATGAGTCTGCTCTCCTTTTTCTTCTGCTCTGCTGGTATTCCACAGGAATGAATGCTAATGATGGGCCCTGGACGAGAACCCCCCACCCCTTCCCTCTCCTTGCAGCTGGAGAGCACCCCTGGGCCTTGCTTGCTGACCCCAGGGGTATTCTAGGGTATTTCTTGTAATAAAGGAGTTTTCACACTTGCTTTGGACACTTATAGGCAAAACTGTACCAAACTCCTATTGATTTTGGTGAGGTGATGTGAGCAAGGTTGAACAGCTGGGGGAGACTGGTGGGGCTGAGACATAAGGACTAAGTGACCCATGGGTCACTATAATTTCCAACAGTTCATCTCCTTCTGTTCTCTCTCTGAATTCAGCACAGCCCATTTAAGGTAATTTGCCCCAAAACCAGATCTAATAATGCCCACCTATGTTACACGTCAAAGCTGGTGATTATGGAGATAGTGGGAGCTAAAAGTAATTGTGTTTGTGACCACCATCAACCAGCAATGAGGGAGGACAGCAGTTAGCTCTCCTATAAGAACTTTCCCATGAAGGAAAAAGTTGTGAATCAAATCTTTTGTCCCTTTAATCTCTTGCTCTGGCTCACTTTTGTAATGCATAGGACAATTTGGCCCCCAACTCTTCTGTTGTTTTTTCTAGGAAGAGAGGGGACTGAGGTTGGTTCAGGCATCTGAGCCAGTCATGGGTATGATGACTGGGTACAATTTCTGGGAACAGTACCCCACAGATGCTGTTTGCAGGATGAGTTGTAGCTGGCACAGAGCACTTGGGAAGGGCAGAAAGACATCCTGTAACAGAGTTCAGGGCCTTGGGGTCAGCAAGCAAGTCCTTGGAGTAGAGTCTTCAGCTGGTTTGTCACTTTCTCTTGTTTTATGGGATGAAGAAGCGCCTGACAGTGAGGTCCTTATGGTAGGCACTATGTCCCTGCAACTGTAACAGGGCAGGGAGAGAGGGTCATCCCTGAACCACAAACCTGCCTGCTCTAAATAGGTTCTGCCATCCTCTGCATCAATACAAGACATAAGAATTTTAATGGAAAGGAACTTAATACAATGAGTATACAGTACAGAAGACAAAGAATATAATGTCTAAATCAAACACCTGAAGTTAGCCATCCCCTCATGGGTAAAAGTCCACCCAAAAGGTATTGGTCCAAAGCAAGGCCTGAAAACCCTCCACAAGACTAAAGCACCCATAGAAAAGGGTCAGAAATGACCAGACATATCTGGGAGCAAAAGAGCACAATCAAAATCAATATAAATTCTGCCATGATCATCCTCCCCACAGGTCTCTCACCCACATCGCTTTCAACCAGTCCAGGGCCAAGAAACAAGCATGGTTTCCTCACATGTCTCCCACTGCTTCATGTGGCTTCCTCAGGTCTCCTTCTGACTCTCCATCCAACTTCCTCCTTCTTCAGAATCCTTCTCTTCTTTTCTCTGTTTAGCTCTACCCTCCTTCTGGGTGGGGCAGGGAACCTGGAACTTCCCTTTTTCCTGGGGACCACCTTGTTACTCAACTTTTACACACTTCTCTCTGGACTCCTGGCGTTCAGAGGAGAAAGATAGAGGGAAGTATGTGGTTTTAGGAACAGATTTCTCAAAGTTTTGGAGATTGGAAGTCTAAGATCATGGTGTTGGCAATATCAGCTTCTTGAGACAGGCCACTGTCTCCTGAGGCCACACGTGGTCTTTTGTATATATCTGTGTTCAGGTTTCCTCTTATAAGAACAACCATCATTTTGGATTAGGGCCCATTCTAATGACCTAATCTTTATTCAGTCACTTTTTTTTTTTAGACTATCTAAATACAGTCACTTCTAAGGAATGTGCTGGGGGTTAGGACTTCAACATATACATTTTGGAGGAAGAGGGTGTAACAGGGTGGTCCCTAGGAAAAGGGGAAGTTCCAGGTTCCCTGCCCCTCCCAGAAGGAGGGTGGAGCTGAGGAGGGAAAAAGCAGAGAAAGAGAAGGAATCTGGGAGGAAGGAAGTAGGATGGAGAGACCGAAGGAGACCTGAGGAAGCCACATGGAGCAGCAAGCTTGTGATGGAGAAACCATGCTTTTTTCTTGGCCCTGGACTGGTTGAAACAGATATGGGTGAGAGACCTGTGGGGCAGTTGATTATGGCAGCATTTATATTGATTTTGATTTTGCTCCTTTCCTACCAGATTTGTCTGGCCATTTCTGACCCGTTTCCATGAGTCCCGGCCAGAAGGTGCTTTAGCCTTGTGGCGGGCTTTCAGGCCTTGCTTTGGGCCAATCCCTTTTGGGTAGACTTTTGCCCACGAGGGGATGGGTATCTTCAGGTGTTTGATTTAGAAATTATATTCTGTCTTTCATATTGTATACTCACTGTATTAAAATGCCTTTCTATTAAAGCCTTATATGTTTTGTCTTGATGTGCCAGATGGCAGAACTGATTTAAAGGTTCAGGGGTGCCCTGTAACAAGGGCACACAACATTTTGTAAGTCTAATTTCATAAACTCTGATATGGTCTTATTGCTTGGTTGGCATTCTTTTCTTTATGGCCCCATGTTAACGGAGAGAGGGAGGCAGGCACCGGGAGAGTGAGAAAATGTCTATAATACACACATTTTAGAAAAGCTTGAATGAGCGTAACACAACTTGGAGGACTGGAATTTTGTCACAGACAAAATGTTAGCACTCAGGGTGTATCCCTCATCCACTTCCAGGTGTTGTTTATACCTTGAGAAAGACATTCAATAATTTCTTAGGATAAGTGCTCTCTTCTGGGTTTTCTTGATGAGGTTCATTGGAGAGCTTTGTATTGGCATCCTATTTTCAACCTGTTGGGGATTGGCCTTTGCAAACATGGAAATGTCTCCAGCTTTCAAGGCAATAGATTTCCTTCCCTCCACACTAGAGGGAATGACCGGAACAATCTTTCTTTTGTACTTCCGTAAAAAAAAGTTTCATGTCCAATTTAGTCTTAGAAAAAAAAAAAAAAAGGGAGGAACTCAAGACTTAGCTCTTTGTAACTTTCTAAAACAGCTGTTGTTTAAAGATGTGTTCTCAATGAAACTGAACACACAGCAGTGAATGAACTTCTTCCCAACTATGTGCTAAAAGTCTGGAGTGACAGCGGATCCTCCCAGCTGAGAAGCTGCTGCTGAACAAAGTGGCCTGAAACCTCAGTGGCTCTGGCTCTTGTGTGCACTTCCCTTGCCAGTGTGCAATCGTGGTGGTTTTTTCTGTCAACTTCCTGCAGGCATTTTTCAATGACTCACACTGGGCCCCTTTTGTGAATCCAGGTGTGTGAGGTATTCCCCCTTCATGCCATCTGCTCTTTTATGCTCGGCAGAGGAAAGCAGGCGTGGAGTGCCGATTCTTGTCTCTCTTTCAAGTACTCACTCTTCTTGCTGGGGAGCGATGCTCTTCTTAGGATCTTTGTTTCTACATAGAAGACGGGTTACCTCACATGTAGGCCCCAGAAATGAAAGCTTATGAATGGCAAGCAGGTAAGGGAAAGATGTACCTTTTGGTTGTTTTGGCCAGGATATGTTACTGTAGGGACAGATCAGTGCTTTATGAAGCTGCACTTTCTTGCCACTAGCTGCTTGGTTAGTAGTTCTTATCACTGGGTCAGGGGTCAAGGGTGACATTCGATAAGCTTCAGATCTGTCCTGTGAAGAGTTACACTGTATACTGGCCACATAGTGGGGTATTCTACTCTCCTTTAGCTTTAAATATGAAGATTAAGGTGAGGATGCAGATTTATTGGACCCTTAGGGAAGAAAAACTAACAGACTTCTTTTCACATTCAGTAGCAGTATAAGAAACTAGGATTTATGTAATTAATTGGATCCTTGTGGAGTATCTCTTCAATCTCTTACATACTCTCCTTAGGAAAAAGATGTTAAAAAAATCAAGACTTTTTACATTTTGAAAACTCAATCATCATTTATAGAATTAATTATAAACATTGGTTAATTATAAAAAACTTCATATGCAAAATGTGCCATAACTTGCAGTGGACATTTTTCATCCATTAAAAGGAATAGAGCTCTGATTTCCAGCCTTCAGTCTTGATGGACCTTAACAGTTTTATGCTAAGTGAAATGCAGACACAAAAGGACAAATGTTGTATGATTTCACTATTATGAGTCACCTCAAACAGGGAAACTCAGAGACAAAGTAGAATATGTTTCCCTGGGCCTGAGGGATGAGGATGTGAGGGGGAGTAATGAGGACTTAATGGGTATAGAGATTTTGTTTGGGATGATGAATTAGTTCTGGAAATGATTAGTCGTGACAGTTGCATAGCATGGTCTACTTAATGCCACTGAATTCTATATTTAAATGGTAAATTTTATCTTATGTATAATTTACCATAATAAAGAGTCTAAAAACTTGATTCCAGTGTCAGAAGAGTATACAGGACTCTTACAATCGTAAAAATATAAAAATTAAGCTTTGGGCCCTGCCTGGTGGTGCAGTGGGTTAAAGCTCAGCCCTGCAAGTGAGCCAGTTACTGCAGTGTGAGTTCGATCCCCACCATGGAGGTGATCCATGTGGTGCAGCAGACCTCTAGTCTTGCCCGCTGCTCCCCTCAGCAGTATACCTCGTTGATCTGTCTGTTTGCTCCCCACTCTGTCTTTGGTGAATCCTCTCACCTTTGGCCTGCACCCCAGTTCTGTATGCATAAATAAATAAATCGTTTTTTTTTAAATTAATCTTATGCTTCTTAGACATATATTACCTGAGCTTGTACTTGTCTGAGGGCAGTTTTTCTGTAGCTTTGCTCCTCACTAGCAATAGAGAAAATCTCTCTTCTAGACTCTTGGCATAGACTACAGCCTCAGATGATTACAGACCAATTCCCACTCAGTTTTCCTTTGGGACAAACAATAAAAAGCAAGTCATCATTTTTGACATTATATGACATATTAGTCAACCTGAAGAATAGAATGTATGTATGAAAACACACACACACACACACACACGAGAAAGAGATTTATTTTAATGATTTGACTCACATAATTGTGGAGGCTCCAGCTTCAAAATCTGCATGTCAGGCCAGCAGACTGGAGACCTGGAAAAGAACTGGCATCAGCTTTGAATATCAAGGCCGTTGAGAGGCAGAATTCCTTTTTCCTAGGAAGACATCAGTCTTTTAACACCGTTCTGCCTGGATGGGGCCTAGACACAGTAGGGTGGGTATCTGCTTTATTCAAAGTGCACTAATTAAAAATTTAATTTCATTAAAAAAAAAACCTTTAAAGTAATATCTATGTGATCAAAATATTAGGTATTTGACCAAACAACTAGGCACTGTAGTCTAGTCTGATATATAAAGCTAGGTAAGTTGATATATAAAATTAACCAACACAAATAGGGATATACATATATAACAATTTCTTTCCACTTGGGCATAGTTGTTAATTGTCTCTTACTTAAATGCTTGTAGAAAAAGATCCCAGTTCTCTCCTACCTCTTCATCTACGTTCAGATCTCATGGTATCATTATTTCATCAACTGGAAGGGCTGTCTTCCAAGGCAGAGCTGGTTAAATGGCATAGAGTCTTCATTGTGTGTGCTCTGACCTGCCAGCCTACCCCGAGATATGTCAGTGTTACATGAAGTTCTGCCAGTTCCTTGGTAAACGGCCGTTTTTGTGGAGGGATGTGATGAGGTATATGTTTTCACCAATTATTACTATTCCCAATTAGACTAGGCCCAGGTGTGTGTTAATAAAATGTTACCTCACTCTCTGTAGGCTAAATAGCTCTATCTGACTTGAGTCCAGGACTTCATGTATTTGATATTGTTCAATCGATTATATCACTGCTGTTCTATTCTCAGGTTTTCGAACCTTCAGAGACCTGGTTTTTTTATAGAAACTATTCCACTTGTTCAGGAAGGTAAACCATTGTCAGCAGTGGTTCTTACCTTATCTCTCTTTCTTTTGGCAGAATGGCTACTGTGGGTGTGGATCATTTGATTGTTCCAAAGGAGAGTCTAACGACCCCAGCCTCTGTCTCTTAAGGTAAGAATCCAAGTGGTTGTACACAACCCTTGGTTTTTCACTTGGGAGCTCTGGGGCTAGGTCCTCAGGGACCCATGTGGACTTTGAACATCTGCGACACCATCTTTGGCCAGCCCCCTCCGTGTTGTGTAGGGTATTCAAGCCCATCTGCACCCTTTATTGCTCCGAAACCAGACGAGCTACCCATGAGCAGCTTAACAGAGCAAACTCGTCTATGTGGCAAAATAGTGAGAAGACTTGTGTATGGTCCTGGGATTTAAAAGCTTGGTTTTAGTGTAACTTAGTTCTGGAACTCAAGGAGCGAACCCCATGCTCAGTACATAGTGGGTTAAAGACTCCTCTTTTTTTTTTTTTTTTTAAAGATTTATATACTTATGCATACAGAACTGGGGTACAGACAGAGGCACAGGGGCTGTGAGAGGAGTCACTAGAGACGGAGTGGGGAGCAGAACAGGCAGACAAAGTGACGAAGTACACTGATGGGCAGGTCAGGAGACGTCTGCCGCTCCAAGTGGGTCACCTACAGGTGATTCATGCTGAAGTGGCTTTAGGTTCTTAGTGCTGTGCTTTAACCCACTGTGCACCAGGGAGGGCCAAGATTTCTCTTTTTTAACTCAATACATTAACTTGGTCAATTAAAAGAGAACCTTCCGGAGTACCTGTTCTGCGTCAAAAGTGGAAATCTGTGGTGGGTGGGGAACATGCTGAAAAGTATCTGTGTCATGTGTCTGCACTGACTGGTGAACACTTGTAATTCAAGGGTATGTAAATGCTGATCATTAGAAAATATTTCCTGATGCCCAACAGAATGAGAGTATTACTCCAACGAAAAATAAGTGACAACATCCATGTGGGCACTTTGAAAATGGTGTGTTGTCGAATGATTGCTTTTTTATCCTGTTAATTTCACTCTGCTGGGTTTAGGCTTGGTGCTTAATACACAGGCTCACCAGGTTCAATGGTTAGGTCTGTGTCTGTTTTCCCAGTGAAAAAACTGAATGTGAGGTCTTGTTTTCTGAGGTCAGTGTGCCATGGTCAGGAATGTCTTTTTGAGGCTGCAGGGACCTCAGCCAGGTCTGCTTTTCTCTCTGCTGTGGGCTGTCAGCTCCCAGCCCAGAGGCCCTTACACACAGACCTCCCACCTTTCATCTGATGGTGAGAAGACAGTCTCCAAAGGAAGTGTGAGATTGTGAGCTGATGGGGCCAGCGCCATGTTTACCTTTCCGTTTCTTGTCTAAAGAGCAGATTGAATTATTAGCATCTGTGTTTTGCTAATGATAATTACACGTTGCAAGTACAGAGCAGAATTCTGTAGAATCTACTAAGATGCTCTCCTTCTTGCCTTTTTGAAGGGATGACATTGTACTACCCTAATTAGGCTCTAGAAAACAAGTAGGAATCTGTATATTACCATCCCTGTTCCCCAGGGCGTACTGGGTGGTGCGGGAGCTGGTACTTCAACTTAAGAGTCCGCTGTTAATAAACCCACAGGGTGTGGAGATGACAGAAATGGGGCTCCATGTTCAGCGAGACATACGGCGAGCCTGGGGTGATGGACACCCAGTGCCTTTTTAGATACTGGGCTACCCATGACTTTAGGGACATCATCATGACCATAACAACAATGGCAGTAAAGCCAGTGCCTCTGATACTGTCTCTGTCACCACCATCACCACAGCAGCTCGTGGGCTCTTATGCACGGCCAGGCATGGTGCTAGGCGTGTTATTGGCACTCTCTTTTGGAATCTGCACAGCATTGCTATTAGTATGGAGGCCCTATTCATGTCTATCTTTGTAACTGAGGAAACTGAGGTTTAAAAAAATTATGTATCGTACTTACGGACCATCAAGCCAAAAAGTGGCCATTATGAATGCCATTTGTCTCCCACACTTGACCTTGCTCGCTCCCTTTTGCTCTCTGGCGACCACCTGTGTCTCAGTGACTCTTCGCACTGAGGTCGCTGAAACATTAGAAAAAAAAAAAAGGTAAGTAGCTCGAGATGGTTAAAAACTATCTGGCCTGCGGACAACTGCAGAAAGAATGAAGAACGAAAATCACTCACTTTAAAAGATGCCAAGTATAATCCTATTAAACACATTACTGTGTTTTGGTATAACTTTCCCCTTGGGGTGTGTGTGTGTGTGTGTGTGTGTATATATGTGAAATTATATCTATAATTTTGTAACATAAATTTATGTTATATAAAATTTATCTAGATGAAAAATTAACCATTGCAAATAGGGATATACATATATAATAGAATGTCCTTCAAATTAGGCATAGTTATTTGTCTTCTTTGTTTATATTTATTTTTTTATTTAAATCTTTTACATCATTTAATTTGCTTATTTGAATCCACGTAGAAAAAGATTCCAGTTCTCTCCCATCTGTTCATCTAGGTTCAGGTCTCATGATGTCATTTTTTCTAAGCACGGTGGTTTAATAGCCAAGAATCTTCACCGTATATGGCAGTATGGACATGTGTTGCTCTGATCACAGAATTGGTAACATTAAGTATGAACTCAACTAATGTGAGCCTTACACTCCCAAAGTCTCCTATAACATATTACCCCTTGATTATGCTACAAATGATCAATTCTTTCTATATGTTACAGATGAGAGAAACATGAACTTGGTATTTTATCCCAATGAAATATGAGATAAGATAGGTTTTTGCTTAGATCTTGTCACAAAAATCAAAGCTTAGAATATAGTCATTCATCTGATCTGCAGAAAAATTAAGGGTTTGAAGCTTCCTGTTTCCTTGGAACCACGTATCTAGATCATGAGGATTGTGTGGCTAGTTCTGGTTGACTCTCCCAGGCTCTCACTGGTGATACTGACCTTGAATTGGCTTGTTTATGTCTTGAAGGTATTGACCCACGTTCATCATGCAATATCCAAGACTGTTGGTGTAAAGCTCCTTCCAAGGAAGCAACACCTTGTTATTTTTGGTACTATGTTCTATTATAGACAAAAAGGAGCAAACCCACCACTTCTTTCTGCAAAGACTATTTGGCACCTATTTCTTGGTCTAGAAAGTTTGCCTCATCTGCCCAGATTTGACCATTAACTAGTCTTAGCATTTCCTAGGTTGATTTGCTGCTTAAATGGCTTCACTGGCATAAGTGGGAATGATGAGAGCTTGGAGAAAGCCGATGCTGGCGGAATGGACAAGTAAGCTGGTTTCATGGGTGTATTTGTGTTTGAAACACTATTAATCATGACACCTCATTTGTGTAAGATACTGCATATGATTTCCATTGTATAATAATCAACCACCCCAAATTTAATGGCTTAAAACCACAACCATCTTTTTGTTCATCATTCTGTGTGTCAGCATTTTGGGGTCAGCTGGGAAGTTATGCTCTTCTTGCCTTGGGCCACACTTGCCACTCAGCTGGTGCCCAGAAAGATTGTCCTAAAGGACATCTGCTGGGATGACTCATCTCTGTCACATCTCATTGTCAAGTAGGCTAGCTCAGACTCTTCAGATGGAACATTCTGACAAGAGGACAAGAGACTAAGCTGCCTATCCTATTGGTCAAAGAAAGACACAGCACCTGCCCAGATTTAACTGGAGAGATTCAGCCTCTTAATGGTGGGAATAGCTGCAGATAATTTATGACCATTGAAAACTTATCAGAGTTTATAGTGTTGTCCTGTATTAAGTACTTTTTCCTTTTTGGGATGCTTGCTTTTCTTTACCCTTATTCAAAAAGGTTTATCCCCTCATAGAAACTCCACTCTGGCAGACTGGTCTCTACAGCAGAGCTTCTCTGAAGAGTGCTTTACTGCCTGCTATTGCACTGAATAGGTCATCCTGCTTTACAGCAGGTGGAGAGAACACACCATGGGCAGCCGGTGGCTTTTGTTTCCAAGGCCTTTGGGGCTGTTCTTTCCTTGCCATAAACCTAATTGCTTCCTGTGATGGTTCTAGCCAACACAGATCAGCCCTTTAACTCTCTCCTGTTGGTCAACTAGATTAGTAAAGCCTGCACTTTTGTTTTTCATAGGTTTGGTTGAGTAACATTAGTTGGCCTTAAACTTTGGCTAACATTGCTTATTTTGGGGACTGGTAGTGTCAAGGGGGCAGATGTGAGTGAGTGGACAATGGGGAACAGGGTGATCAAATGGCTCACACAGGAACCCCAAGTGTTTTAAGCAAAAGTTCTGGCCTTTCCTGAGTGGGAGTTTATCCCCGTGTCAGACATGGATTTGCCTTGAATTCATGGCAGCTGCGACTCACCCTGGGATTGCTGGGTTTCATGGTTCCGCTTTCTTGTTAGTTTTATGACCAGTATTGTAGTAGACAACACTTGAAAGTTTGTGTAAACCCCCACCTTTTTTTTTTGAGCAGTGAAGATGACTGCTTTACAATAAACACTGAAAAGGCTTAAAGAGGAAAAGAACTTAGCTGTAGGCTGGCCCTTGCAAAGAAGGCCTCCCTGGAGAAGGTGTTCTAAATGTTTAGAATGCATATTTGCACTTCTGTCCATGCAGCTATCAAGCATCTAACCCCGGAGACAAACAGGTGCATTAACTTTCTCACAATTCTCAGTGGCTAGTTCTTAAAAAGTTATTATTCTCTACAATCCAAACAAAGGATGGCATTTCTAATCATACCTTCAGCAGCTCTTGAAATTCTTTCTCTGCAAAGCCTTTCTAGAGGGGAGATGAAGACTCCCTCTGTGTCTAAACATGACAAGCCCGTACACGATTCTTCTGTTCTCACCACAAGCCCTTTCCCATTCAAGCTGCGGACCCAGGGGCCTGTGTACTGCTGGCCAAGTTCCCTCACACTTCTCTCAGTTGAGCTGAACTAGGAGATAGAGGGCAAAGGTGGTTTCTCTTGGATGCAGATCAGTATTGACAACCAGTGTGATGCCACCAGAGAGACAACAGTGTGACATCCTGCATACTTTCTGATGCAGGAGCCTGACCTCTTCTGTGTCTGAACTCCAGGGATGCTGTGACCCTGTGTTTGGTTCTGTCTTTT